GTTGGGAAATCATCTGTATGTAGCAACTTCTAAATTTTCTTCTGGTCTGGACTTCTCTCGCCAGCTCCAGACCAATATATCCAATTGTCTGCTTGACATCTCCACTCAAATGTCAAATACATCTCAAACTCAACTGTCTAAAACACCCTTCCCACCTGACCTCCTACTCTGCTCGTCTCCACCACATTGGGAAACATCTCCACCAGCCACCTAGCCACTTCAGTCACTCCTGACTCCTCCTTCTCTGACCGTCACATAGTCACTCCCCAACTAAGTCCTGCTGATTCTACCACGTTTCCATGTCACAGCCCCAGTCTATGCCACCTCTTCCTCAGGGACAACACAAGGACTTCCCATCGGTCATATATGCAATAGAATCATCCTACTCTATTGAAGGGCTAAAATCTAGGCTTCTAGTTTTAGGGTATTCCCACCGACCAATTTGGGGCAATCTGAGCACCAAAATAATTAAGATTAATAATTATGAAATTATTGGGAAAATAATAGAAATCTCAAAATCCCTACTAGTAATAATTATTAAATAAGTAGGCAGAAGAATGTCGTGTGGAGGGAGTACTGGAGTTGAAGTCATCATTTTGTAACCTTCATGATAAAGGCTGATTTGATTGAGGCAAGAATCATGAACAGATGTTCAATCTCATCTATTTAATAACCTATGGAATAGGATATCTGCATGTTTGTAATATATCTCCCTGACTGCTATTGGTTACAAGGGAAAAATTTTAACTAGAAATTGGAGAAATCAGACAAAATTTAAATCACTGAGACATTGTGTGCCTCTTGTTGTCACACTGAGAAGGATACAACATTTATGCAGTCTTCCAGCCAGGAATGCATGACCCATATATGGTAATGAAACAGCAGACAAAGCTCAAATGAGGAGGAACATTCTACTAAAGGGAGGACTGCATTTTCCCATTGTGTCAATGTCATAAAATACAAAGGCTAACTATTCCAGATTAAAGACTAAAGAGAAATGACAATTTAATGCAACACATCATTTCTAGCCTAGATTCTGGACTAGAGGAGAAAATACTACATAAAGGATATCACTGAGACAATTGACAGAACGGATGGTAAATTAGATACCGTATTGCATCCATGTTAAATTTAGTGACGGGGATAACTGTACTGCACTGGGGTAGGACATACACACTAAATATTTAAGGGTAAAGGAACAGATGTATGCAACTTATTCTCAAATAGTTTCAGAATGAAAGTCACATGGATATACTAGAGAGAGAGAGAGACCAAGTAATTTTAACAGGTGAGTTTGGAGTAAAGGACATACAGATGCCCTTTGTATTTTTGTATAATTTCGAAATTATTTCCAAATAAAAAGTTAAACCAAAAAGAATCCAGGCTCTTTACCATGGCCCACAAGGCACCTGCCGCCATCCCCAGCCAGCCAGTCCAGTCTTGTTTTGACCACATGCTGCAGCATATTCAACTCCACAGACACAAGCTGCCTTTCAGTTTTCCCAACATAACAAGTTCTTGCCCACCTCTGGGCCTTTGTGTGTGCACCTACTGTTGCCTCTATATGGAATTCTCTTCCTTCAACTCCCTCTCAGGGATAAAGTGACTGTCACTTTCTCACTTTGATCAGTTTGATCCTCAAGTTGGCCTTTGATCCCCCCAACCCAATATAGATTTACTGTGTTCTTCCATAGCACCCTGAATGTTTCCTTTATGATACTTGTCACAGTTTGTAAGAGTTCGTATTTTGAGGGCTTGCTTAAGATCCATCTTCTCTAGGAGCCCGGAAGCTCCCTGAAGCCAGGGATCCTATCCGTTTCATTCATGAAGGTGTCCTCCACCCCTACTACTAGACCTGACATACTGCCGGGCACTTAGTAGACAGTTGATTAAATGGTGAATTCCACCCTGTTGGAATTCCCCCAAACTGTTGGCAGCTCTCAGAGGAAACACCCCACAGTTCATCTCTAGCCCTAAGAACCGATTCAAGAGGCTTCATCTATGAAGGCTTCTGGGGCTCCCCACCACTGTACCAGTATTTAAAACTAGGAGGCCATGGGAAGGAGTGAGGGGAACTCAGGAGGAGAGGCATCTTAAGAGGGAGAGGATGAATTCAGCTGGGAGTCTGGAACCTCAGAGAGGGCATGTCAAGGAGGCAGTTGGCTGGATCGGGCTAGTGCTCAGAGGGGCAGTCTGGTTTAGAAGGAGAGATGACTGGTAGCTGAAGTTGTGGACATTAAGATTTCTCACAGTCTTGTACAAAAGAAAAAGAGTCCAAGGATGGGGCCCAGGGGAACTGGACTTAAGGGCTAAGCAGAAAAAAACATCCCTGGAAGTAAAGAAACTGTCCAGAAAAGTAGGCGGAGTATCAGTAGAGTTTTCACAGAAGGCAAGAGAGGAGGCCACTTTAGGCACGAAATCCCATACATCTGTGTTGCCTTCTTCCTTATTCAAGCTCAGCATCTGGGACTCGGGGAGCTGAGGAAGCCTGGCGGAGGCTAAGGTCTTGGACTCTCTGAATCCTGACTCCACAACATCTAGGCTGTGCGATCTCAAGTGATGGACTTAGCTTTCCCAGACTCCAAGCCCTCATCTGCAGAATGGGAGTAGTGCTAGCATTTACTTCATGGGGCTGCTGTCAGGATTACACAAGATCATCTTTGGAAAGTCCTTTGATCCATGATTGGTCCACAGTCTAGGAGTGAATGAACATTATAAGTGCGTACACAGTGGGAGCAGGATGCACTGCCGGCTAATAGGATTGCTTCTTAAGTTCAGCCAATTATAGGGCTTCAGACAATAGTCAAATAGCCCCCTCACCACTTTCTATTACATGCCCCCTTCTCCTGATTCGATCTCTATTAAACAAACCTATAGTGGGCAGGCTCTGTTTAATATTGTCCTTTCTCCAAAGCCACCTCCTGAAAATTGGCTTTCCCCCAAGTATGCCCCAAGTCAGATGATACTGAAGCTTGCCTACCTAACTGCATCTCAACCCTGTTTTCCAGGTAACCGTGGTGACGCTGCCTCCTCAACACAGCTACCTTCTGTGGATATAGGTAGGTATCCTCAGGCTCCTTACTTGGAGATACCACTGATGCTCGCCAGTAGCTTCTGACCATCTAACCTCCAGAAGAAAGAGAAGTGTGTGGATGACCATCTCCCAGCTTAGAAAGCTCTTCCACAGTATAACCTCCCTTTCATCCTCACAACTGCCCTGTGAGGTAGATATAGCAGATAATAACTACACTGGTCCACACGTATCAGGCATTCACGATGGACCATGCTCTGTGTTCAGCACTTTCATAGGTGATCTCATTTAAACTCACCAAAATCCTATGAAATGGGCTCAGGCTTTCCATTTTACAGAAGAGAAAAATGGGGGCTCAGAGGGGTTAGACTTTGCCCCAGATCAAAGAGGTAGTAAGTAATAAATTCAGACCTCAGACTGACTCCAAAGCCACACTTTTAACCCTTCTTCAATATTGCCTCACAAAGCAAGTACATTTTTCCTCAGGTTATCATTCTGTCCTTTAAATTGAAGCCCAGAGAGGTAAAGTGACTTGCCCAAGGTCTCACAACCAGGAACTGGCCGAGCTGGAGTCCGTAATTGGATCTTCTGGCTCTGAGGCTCTTGAGACCATGAGGCTTCAGTGACTGGGTCTGACAATACACTAGACAATTATTTCCGCAGCAGGTTTGCCGGGCCAACCCTGCTCAGCTCAGAACAATAATTCTCTGACAGTTTTCAGGAAATTTCTGTTTTTCTGAATCCCAAGAACCATCAGTCAAGAAATCGGGGAGAGAGGAAAAAGGATTGTAATTCTCCTGTGAGAGTTAATGCTTAACAATAAACAACCAGGCATTCCTGGTTTGAAGGAATCACTGATGTCAAGTAGAAAGCATGAGAAGGAAATGCTGACACATGGAGTCCAAGGTTAAGGTAGGCCTTTCTGGAACCTGGGATAGGCGCACATAGGAGAGAAGTGGTCATAATCTGATTAGTCTCTTTTGTAGCTGTTGCCATATTAGAAACATATTCATGGCCCTCCCTGCTGTTAACAGTGAGCCATTCTAACAAGTTAAAATAAATATTAATCTGTTTACATGTATATCTTATCCTATGACTGATGTTCCAAGAAATAAAAAGTTTTAGAAACAAGTCCTTCGATTGGCAATTTCAACACATGATTCTATGTAGTGCAGTTAATTTTGTTGAAGATTTAAACATTTTGTGATCTGAATACTACCCAATAATGTTCTCTGGTATTTTCTCATTTCTGAATATTTGCTGTAGCCTACAGTTCTTTGTAACTACTACTACATATGTATTTCTTATTTATTAAAAAAAAATAGAAAGTTATGAAAAATACAGAATACCATGATTTCAGGAATTCCCAAGAGTTCCAATCTTTGAATCCCCAACTGTAGATTAATAACTGTTGGGAATTTAGAACTGGATGAAATTCCTAAGCAATTCAGTGGGATGGCAAACTGTGGAGAGGCCATCTTCCTTGGCCTCCAGGAAGGCTTCAAACAGGAGCTGGTCCTGGAGCAGAGCTTGGCTGGCCGACATCCCGCTAAAGGCAGAGGTCTGCAGTGTCACTTCAGGGAGCCAGGGGCTGAGCCGGCAGCGTTGGCCCTGGCATGGAATTTCTACGATGTCTCAAGTTTCTTCTCAATGGTTGGTGCAAATGTTCATTTTCATTTCAGGGGGGATCTGCTTGCTTTAGTATAAAAAGTGTTTCATACAATTATCACGGAAAAATGGATTGCTCTTCATTCGTGTACCAGCGGGCGGGCTGTGGAGTCAGGCAGGCAGACCTGGGTCTGAATGCTGATTCTGCCACATACTGGCTGTGTGACCTTGGGCTGGTCCCTTAACCTCTCTGAGACAGTTTCTCCTTCTGTAAAATGCTGATAATGAGAACACCAATGGCACAGAGATGCTGTGAAGACTGAATGAATCATATAAATCACAAAGCCTGGCACAGAGTAAGCCCTCCACAAGTGGGAGACGTGATGATTTCCTAGCACGACAGGCCCAGCAGTGGAGTGGGCAAGCACGAGCTTGCTTGCAGCCCTTGGAACCCCTCAGAGGGTCATTCGCCCCGGGCCTTCTCCAGCTGGGTCTGCTGGGGCGGCTCAGGGCTGTGCCACACGCTTCGGGTGCCCCCTCACCAGCCCGGGCCGCCTTCCCGGTTCCCACGCAGGCCCGCGGCGAGGCGGGCGCCAGGGTGGAAACGCTTCCCGCCCCCGTGGGCTCCCGGGGGAACTGGCGAGGCTGGCACCCTCAGGAAGCTCTTGCTGCAGGTCCTCCGGCGATCGACGGAACCCACCCGCGGGCCTAGCATCCGTGGGCCTGCGGGGAGGCGTTAGGTGGCGGGTGGGGTCGGGGTGGTGGGCGTGTGGCGCAGGGTCTCCGCGCGAGGCTGCTGGAGGCCCGGCGCCGACTGCGCACTCCGAGGCCTCTGGCTGCGACGCGTCCTCAGGCGTCGGATGTGGTCCGATTGTGCCCGAAGCCCTCCCCATTCTTGGGGGTGCCGTTGAGCCCGCTCTGCGCGAGAGTCGGTGGCGAGCTAGCTGGGTGCTGGGACCTTAGGTTCGGGGCAGGCTGGGGCCGCTCGCCCGCGATGTTCCCGCGGCGGCTCTGGAGCTGGGAAGCCCTTTGCGCCCTCAGGGGCACGGGTGGGTGGCTGGCTGGATCTTGCGGCGGCCAAGGGAAGCCTAAGGGGCTCGCCTTCCCTGGGGAGCCGGCTCACCTCCCCTTTCCCTGGGGGATCGTCCGGGGAGCCCTCGGGGTCTTGCTTCCTCCGCCGGGAGCTCTGGGGTCCGGCGGCGCCGCCGAACTGGGCCGGGCGTGGGTGCGGAGGCCCCTCCTGGGAAGGAGCCGCCTGAGGGGCTCTGTTTTCAGGCCTTTCTCGTGGAGGGCTCTCCTTGTCATCCTCACTCCCGAATCCTGCGGGGAGGAAAGAAGGATCTGTAGCGTATTTTCTTCTCCTCAGGCACATTAAGACTAGGAGGACCCTGCCTCGGGAGTCCTAAATGGGACAACTTGGTACAAAGTCTTTACCAACGACCAAGTGCGGTATTTCCGACAGCAGGCAGAGCTTGAGGCTGGGTCCCTTGGGAGCTCAGTGTCTGAAATTTGACAGAGCCGGGCAGCTCTACAGTTACTTGCAGTGTGATTTGAGGCAACTTACATAACTTCTTACAGTTTCAGTTCGTTCAGCTGTAAGGTGGGGGGAATAGTAGGGGAGCCACCGACCATCAAGAAACAGGGGGGCGGGGGGGCACAGCAGCCTTATGTTTAGTTGGAAAGACCAGTATAAACCTGTACCTTACAGAAACCTTTTTCCAATTCTGTCACTGCCAAGGGTGGTCCAGGCCCCCTCTACTAACTCCATGTATAACTCTAGTGCCGAGTGTTGGTATCATATTATTTACCATTAAAATAACCAGGAGTCCTAGGAGGGTAGCTGATTCCATTTCTTGAAGCAAGAAAAATCAGGATGGGTCTACAAGCATCCTGCTGAGGTATTGAGCACCCCCCCCCGAAATACAACAATTGATATGCTTAAGGGAAATGTCTGGGAAAGGCTGTGAGACCATAAGCTACCCAAAAGTGGAGTTAATAATGTAAAGAAAAAGTAGTTTTACTAAGAATAGATACATATGATATTGATGATTTTTATAGAGTGTTAATATATGGATATTTTGTTTCTTCTATTCTTCATCTATTTATAAGGCATAACTATGAACTTGTTTCTGTCTGTGCAAGGAGGAAGGATTAGACCTAAGGGAACTGAGTCCAGTGACCCTGGAAAAGCAACGTTACCATTACTGGACAGCACTGATGAATACATATAGTAACCAGGTAAGAAACTGCAACACTTGTTCTGAAAGGACAATGTACCCATCTGTCCTGATGAGAACTAATTTAAACATACTTACTACCTCACCTCCTAAGAGATGACACATGGAGGAGCTTTAACAAACACTGATCAACAGTCCCCATCAAAAAGATCCCTAGATTTTATAAGGGATTAATATTCAGAATATATAAAGAACTCCCACAATGTAACAACAATATAACAAACAACCCAGCTGAAAAATGGGCAAAGAATTGAAGAGACAGTTCTCCAAAGAACACAACACACATGATCCAGCAAGCATATGAAAAGATATTCAATATCACTAATTGTTAGGAAAATGCAAATCAAAACCACAAGGAGATGCCACCTCACACTCATTAGGATGGCTACTATTAAACAAAAAATCACAAACAGAAAACAAATGTTGGTGAGGATGTGAAGAAATTGAAACCCATGTTCACTGTTGGTAGAAATGTAAAAGGTGCAGCTGCTATGGAAAATAGTATGATGGGCCCTCAGAAAAGACCCAGCAGTTCCTCTGCCGAGTATATATATCAAAAATAATTGAAATCAGAGTGTCAAAAAATTTTTGAACAATTGAAATTATAGCAGAATTATTCACAATAGTCAAGGGATGGAAGCCACCCAAGTATCCATCAACAGCTGAAGTATCCATCAACAGATGAGGCTAAACAAAATGTGGTACATACACACAATGGCATATTATTCAGCCTTAAAAAGGAAGGAAATTCTGTCTGACACATGCTACAACATGGATGAACCCTGAGGACCTTATCTTAAGTGAAATAAGCCAGTCACAAGACAACAAGTACTACGTGATTCCGCTTAAATGAGGTACCTAGAATAGTCAAATTCATGGAGACAGAAAGTGCAATGGTGTGTTGAGGTTGGGGGAGGGAGGAATGGGATTTACTGTTTAATGTATATATAGTTTTACTTTTGCAGGATGAAAAGAGTTCTGGTGGTGGATGATGCCGATGGTTGTGCCACACTGTGAATATACTCAATGCCACTGAACTGTGCACTTAAAAATGATCAATAAGCTAAATTTTATCCTATGTGTATTTTACAACTGAAAAAAAATTCCCAGATTCTAAAGCACAGCCAGGTTTGAGATCCCCTGTCGGTAGAAGGGCAGGAAAGGGTGTGGGTGAAATTTTGGTGACCTTACCAGTTATAAGTTAATAATGGAATAGGGGGTTTTAATTGTGCCAACAGAGCAGGTCAATAGATCATAATGAAAGGACACTGGCTCAGGTATTAATGGCAATACAAAAGTTGAATGTAACATCTCTGAGAAAGACACCACGGTGCAAAAATTAGTATCTATATAAAAATCAGTTAAATGTATGGATCTTATTTGGATTGAGTTTTAAAAAGTGACAGAAATTTTAATTGGCATTTATGGTACATTTATACAAATTGAAAATTCAAATATACTGGCTATTTGATATTAATGAGTTATTATAAAAAATTTTTAAGGGGGGAGTGTCTAGCTCAGTGGTAGGGTGTGTGCTTAGCATGCATGAGGTCCTAGGGTCAATCCCCAATACCTCATTTAAAAATAATAATAAAAAAATAAATAAACCTACTTACCTGCCCCTTCCAAAAAAAATTATCTTAAAAAAATTTTTTTTTAGTTGTGATAGTGGTACTGTGGTTTAAAGTCCTTAACCTTTTAGAGAATCATACTGAAATAATTCAGATGAGATTCTGTCATGTCTGAGATTTGCTTCAAAACAGTAGGAGGAAAGAGTCGGTGGCCATGAGTTAAAATTGTTAAAGCTGAGTGGTGGGTTCCTGGAGATGCCAGATACATAGTATTATATTTACTTTTGTATGTGTTCGAAATTCTCCATAATAAAAAGTTTAAAAAAACACACAGAAGAAAGAGAGAGAGAGGAAGGAAGGAAGGAAGAGAAAAGTAGAAAAGGAGGGAGGGATGGGGTAGGGAGGGAGGGACTTATAAGCCCCACAGGTAACAAGAAAAACCTTCCCATGACCAGGTGCTGGGGCTAATGACCAGCAGCTCAGGTTTGCCCCCTTAGAACTGTGCAAACTGGTCCCATGTCTCCCGCCAGAACCTACAACCTCAGCTGATTCTTAGACAGTTTCCTTTTTCTTTCAGATCTAGTAGGATTATATAAACTCTAAAAAGATCTAAAAATAATAACTGATAGAATTACTGAAACCCTAGAAAGGTATAAAAACTGGGACCTCATGATGGTGTCAGAATAAGGAAGAGTTAAATCCATAGTTTTAGCACTTTTATGACCAGTTCTGATGGCCAGAGTTTTCATAAATTCTGTAATTACTGTATTTGTGTATGCTTAAAGCATATGAAATAGTCAGAAGAATCAGACAAACTGAATTTGTATTTGCAGTTTAAATTAGTTACGATAATTTAATTCATTAAATTTGTAATCAAAGCCTAAATCCCCTATGGAAAAGAACAGCTTTCAATTTTTTCCTGTTTTTTTGGTAGAGTCTAATAAACTGAGCATTCCAGTACAGAAGGTAGTGGATGTTCCCTCCAGCCTAGAAGCCTCTCAAATATGAAATAATCTATCAGTGGGTTCTTACTTCACTTTAAAGGAGAAGATGCAGGTAAAACACTTGGCTCAGGGCCTGCAACAAAGGACGCTCTCACGTCCAATTCAGATGAGCCAATTTACTGGAAAAGGAAGAGGGTGGTAGCAGGAGCCGACATCAGAGAGACAGCAGAGAGGAGCTGTCACAGGCATGCTTGCTGCCTGGCTGATCTGATCAGGTGGTCATTCAGTCATTCAGCAAACACTAGGCAAAGACTAAAGGTCTCAAATCAGGGCACAGGCACTTGCTAATCTCCATATAAGTGGTTAGGAGGGTGGGCTTTGCATCAGATGGCATGAGTTTGAGTCGACTCAGCTTCTTTTTATCCTTGACCTTGGGCAAGTAGTATAACATCACCAGGCCTCAGTTTCCTTGTCTGTCTGTTGGGGATAATAATCCCTACTTGACAGGGTTCCCTGAGGATTAAGAGATTATGTATGTATGTGAGTGAGTGTGTGTGTGTTGTTTTGTACATATACACACATTTGTATATATACACACAGTAATACCTATGTATATATGTGTGTCTGTATGTCTGATGTACACATATATACATGTATTTACATATAGGCACTGAGTAACAGTGGCTGCTATTATGACTTAACATTGCTTTGAATTCAGGGTTTGCTCCTTGGAAGATCTGGGCTATTTACTTATGGATATGACCAAACAGATTAGATCCAACCAGTGGGAAAAATTTTTTTTCTGAGTATTAATTCATCACCCTATTCAGATCAATTGATGGCCATTTTGTTTTGCATTTCCCCCAAATCATCAACAGATTTTTATAAACCAATGATGAATGTCAGAAAGAAGGGTTCTGGGAAAAAATGTCTCCATAGACAACAGCTAGTGTGGGCAAGTGGTTGGAAAGCACAGGGTGTGTCTGATCCTACTGGGGCCGAGGCCACTGCTCATAAGTGTACAGGTTGTGCACTGCACAACTCTTGGAAGTGCTGTTCACTTCCTGGTAAACAGAGATCTGTATAAGGAAAGGGCACTTTTAAAAATTTTTTATTTGCTATTTCTTTGTGGGAATTTATTTTTTAATTTTTTTTTTTGAGAGGGGAGGTAATTAGGTTTGTTTATTTATTTATTTATTTGATGGAGGTACTGGGGGTTGAACCCAGGACCTTGTGCATGCTAAGCGCACGCTCTACCACTGAGCTATAACCTCCCCCCAAGATCACCTTTTTCTAATTCACATAAAGCTGAGTAGTCGACTGTGGTTTCTCCAGAGGAGAGAATGTGTACCACATTTTCTTATCTTTTGTGCCAGGCTAGGATCTAAGAAAGCTGTGGCCGAGAGGCAGCTTTCTCTCAAGGTTTGGGGCAAAGACAGGGATTCCTGGGTAATAGGCAGAATTCTAAAGATACACCCCTAAAACTCCTGCCCTTAGTTATGCAATCAAACACTAATCTAGGTACTGCTGTGAAGGGATTTTGGAGATGTAATTAAAGTTCCAAGTCAGCTGACGTTAAGATATGGCGATTATCACCCAATCGGGTAGCCGTTTAAAAGAGTTTTCTCCAGCTGGCAGCAGAAGGGGAAGTCAGAGATGTGAAGCATGAGGGGGACTGAAGCCTGTGCTGGCTTGAAGATGAAGGGACCCATGTGCTGAGGAATGTGGTGGCCTCTCAAGTTCCCCCATTGACGGGAGCACAAAGACATCCCACACAGCCCAACATCACAAGGAACTGAATTTGGCCAACAACCTGAACTCACTTGGAATAGGATTCTTCCCCAGAACTTCTAGGTAAGTGCCCACCCCAGTCAGCAATTTGACTTGGGCCTTATGAGACCCCAAGCTGAGAACCCAGCCAAGGCTGTAGGATCTGCCTGTAGGACTATGCGATAATAAACGGGTCTTGTTTTAAGCTGTTAAGTTTGGGGTCATTTGCTGTGGAGCAGGGATACATTTGGATTCATGAAAGCGCTCATCTGGGGAGAATGTGGGCGTCCCTTCAGGAATCCCTGTCTCGAAGTGCTGGTGGGGAGAACCCATCCTCCCACTCCCCGGGTTTCCTTTATGCAGAGGGAGGACCACTGGTATCCAGTCCTGCCTCTCCCCTCCTCCTGCCTTACACAGGAAAGAGAAATTCGGTGTCTGTATTCCAGTCTCTTGCTGTTTTTCCACTCAGGAGTGCACTTGCTGGGTAGAACTTGCGTACTGCTTTACTCCTCTGTCTTCCAAGTTCTACGAGGGGAGGCCCATCATGGTCTGGTGCTGCCAATGACCGTGGATGGATAAATCATTAATTCTGGGATTTAGTAACATGGCCTAGAACTCAAGAAGAGGGGTGTAATTAATGGGCTCCCTCCTCTTCCCTTGACATACAGCCCTGGGAGAGCTGATCTAATCTGCTCACTTCTGAGGACCAGGAGGGGAACTGCACAGGTTGACTCACTTGAGAAGATTGCCGCCTGCCCTTGAAGAGCCCCGTAGGTGAGGCTTCCTCTTCATGTCTTAACAGTAGGATGACTGGCTTCAAATATGTTTGATACTGTCTCTTATCAGCTGAATAATGTTCCCTCACCCACCAGAAAAATTCACATGCCAAAGTCCTAACCCCTAGTACCTCAGAATGTGACTGTGCTGTGAGACAGGGTCTTTAGAGAGGTAATGAAGTTAAAATACGATGATTGAAGTGGGTTCTAATCCAACATGACTGGTGTCCCTGCAAGAAGAGGAGATTAAGACACGGACACACGATCGTGTGAAGACACGGGGAGAAGACGGCTGTCTACAAGCTGGGAGAGAGGTCTCAGAAGAAACCAGCCCTGCTGACACTTTGATCTCCAACCTCAAGTCTCTAGAACTGTGAGAAAATAAATTTTTGTTGTTTGAGGTACCAGCCTGTGGCACTTTGTTATGGCAGCCCTGGCCATTCCGGAGGAAGCTGCTGTCTTACAGCGCCTGCCTCTGTTTGAAAGAAACTGCAGTCCTGTTCTGAGTGGTGAGAGTCAGTAAAATCATGAACAGCTACAGGAAAGCTAACAGCCCATCTAAGGGGACTCGGAAACCAGAGGCGAGAAGACCAAGCCGGGCCCCTGAATGAAATGGCTCCAACTGAAGTAAAGCTGATTGAGGAGAACTGTTAAAAGAGAGGTTATAAGAACTCAAACCTCTCTGTCACTAGTCTTCCAATCCTGTTTCTTCCGAGTCCCTGACCATCCAGCCGAACCATTAGCAACTGCCCACGAGTTAGTGTAGGTCTCACGTCAGACGTAGTGAACAGCCAGGGGCTCAAAGTGCTGTCCGCTGTCAGGACTGTTCTTCACCCCAGTCCTTCGGGTTCACCAGGGCCCACGGCCAGGTCATAACAGCCTGTCGGACAGATTCACCTGTTCACAGGCGTGAGACTTTTCTTCATCAGTCAACTGGGTGTAAGGGACACCCCCAGGTGGCCATAGCAAGTGACTGAGGGAAAGAAGACCGTGCAACCAGAGCCACCTGCTCCTGTAAATGGCTTGTATCTTCTGGGCCTTTCCAAGCCTGCTCTCTTATATCGGGTGATGATAGATCGCTGCTGTGCACACCCCATCTTGGGGTTGGGTTGGTCAGAAAACGCCCCATTCGTGATGAGAAGGTCAGATTGCATGGTCACCGGATGTCCCCTGGTTAGGTGTTCAGTCCCTAAGTTCCAATAGCAAGCCAGAAGCTGTTTCTCAAAAGTAGAATAGTTGTCTATAGAAAAGAGCCTAAAAATCCTGTGGGTCTGTGCTTTGATTCTGCTCTTGGTGCTTGCTAGCCTGTCACTGGCTCCGCTGGACCGTCGGTACCAAAAGACAGGGCAGCTGTGCTGCAGCCTGAATGTGTCACAGAGCCTTCTCTTGCTCTGGTCCCTCTCAAAACTGGTACCTCACTGGTGACCCTATTGATGAAATACACTGCCTCCAAAATCCAAATAGGGCTACCAAGCATTGTTCCTCTTTTGGAGGGAGCAGGTTGTATGAGATACAACTTGCCTTTCACCTTGGAGGGCGTATCTTTACGTGCTCTAGGCCTCGGAATGCCCAGAAACCTCACTGAAGTGGTGGCATGAATCTCTGCACCTCTCCCAGGGGTGTGGTATTTTTTTTTTAACCGGTGTGTTGTCTTTGTAGGGAGAGGCAAGTTCCAGGGGCTTTCACTTAGCCCTTCCTGCCATGTTGGTCCCAAGTCTGTGGGTCAGAGAGCCTAGATGCGGATTCTGCCACTACAACGGTTTCAATTTATTGTCTCTCAGCTCCAAATTCAGGTTCAAGTATCTGCTCTGCGTTTCTCCTTGCAGTGAGTGTGATGCTACACTTTGTCAGTAGAGGGCGCGCGAGGGACGTTGAAAGAGGAAGGAGCTACTCTTCCTGATTATGGTCCTCCTGAGGTTTTATTTTTCTTGCTCTTGCACCATTTTGCAGTGGTACCTGCACCTGGGCACATCCGGTGGTTCCCTGACTCAGACTGTATGTGAGAGAGAAGTCCTCTGAGGAGCTCACAGCCCCTAGCTGGTAGCCGCCTTGCCACACCCTCTCTACCACCATGTGGACACCACAAACCCCAGACCACACGCTGCCTTTGCAGTGAGTGGACTCCTGACACTTGGATGCCTTTTGCACACCACCAGTCTTAACCCTCATGCAGCTTTCCCTAACACTGATCTGCAGAGCAAGCTTTCTCCAACACTTGACTTCGGTAGCAGTCTGGTTTTCTCCAGCGCTGTGCTCTTACCAAGTGCACTTTCTCTAATGTCAGCAGTGCTTGATTCCTTTATTGATGCAGCTTTCGCCAGCATTGGGCTCTGCGTGTGCGTGCTCCAGCCCTTGACTCCGTAATGGCATGACTTTTCACAGTGCTTGATCCTTGTACTGACAAAGCTCTCTCGAGCACTGGGTTCCTATAAAGAACACTTCCTACAGTCTTGGTTCCAGCAGTGCTCAGTGATTAGCAGCTTCACCTGACCCCCCAGAGGGCATATTTCTAGGAAGTCCCACTGGTGAGGCAGTCAGTGACTTCTCTGCCATGCCCTTTCAAATGAAGTCTGGCTCTCAGCCTGGTGGGAGAGGACTCTTCCTTGGGGTCTCTATCTCAGTCCTAGGGATAGTAGCTGATCTTAATACCTCTACTTCAGTGTTCTTTTTTTTCAAAAATTAATTAATTTTATTTTATTTTGGGGGGAGAGGGAAGGGAGGTAATTAGGTTTACTTATTTATTTTTAGAGGAGGTACTGGGGATTGAACCCAGGACCTCATGCAAGTGCTCTACCACTTGAGCTGTACCCTCCCCTACTACTCCGGTGTTCTTTAGAACTGTCTTTGGCTTTCATTAACCATTTGCCTATTATTCTAATCCCCTATTAATAATTCCTTTTTTAAGGTTTTATTTATTTTTGCTTTTTTGGGGTACATATATATTTTTTATTGAAGTATAGTCAGTTCACAATGTTGTGTCAATTTCTATTAATAATTCTTTGTTAAACTTTCCCATTGTGGCTTCTGTCCCCTGGGTGCACCTTGACTGAAATAATAATTGGTACTGGAGTAAGATCCAGGAGAAAGACCCACAAAGATGGAATTTTGCAATTTATATGGTCACACCCTTGAGTTTGAGCACAGTACTGAACTCCTAGCCAATGGTTGTAACGGAATGCCAGCAATCCATGGTATGCAGTGGGATCACAGTTAATCAAACTGTCACCTGTGGCTAATTGTGATGAGGTGCCAACTGAAGCAGATGCCTTGGGAACCCAAATGGCTGCTACCCTTGACTCCTATGGCAACAGTAATGACTAAGGATTGTGATGTAGCATGGATTCTTTGCAGGGCACTTGAGTGATTACAGAGAGAAAATGACAAATTCAGGTCTATTAACTCCCGGCACAAGTCACAATCTGAGAACCAGGATGCTTTCATAACTGTCCTAAAACAATCTTTTACTTATTGTAGACTCACGGCTGACATTGCTAAACGTCAACACAAAATTTAATTGCGTAGTTGCTGATTTATAATGACAGTTGAATTCAGTCTTACCAAATTTGTCATGGGAAAACTAGGGCATTGATCAGGAAAGAATACGGTTCAGAAATCTGAATGGTGCATCAGGTTGGAATCAGAAGAAGCAGGCAATATGGAACTCCCAAGTCATCCTGAGTCTCTCTTGCCAGTGGAAGTAGCTTGCTCTCCTGTATCTAAAAAGGCTAGTTTTTCTCTGTCTGAAAACCCTGTAATAACCTCATCTGGGGCAAATGCCTTGAAGCAGGTTGCTTATTCTACTCAAAATACACCCTGCTGCCTCTAAGCCTTTAACTAAGGTCAGATCTCAACACTTACTTCAGGGGGACAGGTACACACTATGATCCAGGAAGAAATATCTTACACATCAAAAGAATTGCAATACGTGGCTAATATGTTGGCAGAAACCTAGGGAGTGTGTGAGAATGGATTCTAAGGGTATTAGATCAATGAGGGTAGAAAATAACACTAGATAGGGCCAAATTAATCTGTACAGGTGTATTTACTAAAGATTCCAGATTTAAATGTGCTAACTCATGCACCTGAGGTTGGCACTACTTGGTTAGTTGAGTGAGATTTGGATTTGATAGTGGTATATAATTAGTGAAGTTAGGATGCCAGAGTTTTCTTGGCAATACATAGAAGAGGGAATCCAAAGGCTTAGGGTGATAGACTGGATTTATCATATGTAATCTGTCAACTATATTCTGTGAGAAGACCCAGAAGACACTTCCTTTGCTAAGACATGGAAGGGAGCACCTCCACCCTTGAAGATCTCTCTGGTTATTCTCCTTTGTAAGCCAGGTATGGCTGTAGGGGATATCACCATTTATTTGGATTCCCTGACCTCAGTGGGTATGATGGGATCTAGACAAGGTGGATACATCAACTGCACAGGGCAGCAGGAACCACCAGGCAGTCTGATTTCTTCGCTAGCAGAGGTCATTGGCAATGGTAATTGATCACAATGTCCCTAGGAATGAAATAGATGGGAAAGCTCCGCCACTATTGTTGGATTTGTTTCCTTCTTGATCTTCTGTCTAGTTATTTCATCCACTATTGAAAGTACAGTATTGACGTCTCCAACTATTGTTGGTTAACTATTTCTCCCCTTAATTCCATCAGTTTTTCTTTCATGTACTTTGGGGTTGTTTTTAGGTATACATGTGTTTATAATTATGTCTTCTAGATGGATCAACATTTTTATTGTTATAAAATGTCTTTCAGGTGGAGGGTGTAGCTCAGTGGTAGAGAACATGCTTGGTATGTACTAGGTCCTGGGTTCAATCCCCAGTGTCTCCACTAAGGGGAGAGGAAAAAATGTCTTTTGTCTCTAGTAATGAATTTTGTCTTAAATTCTGTTTTGTCTGGTAATTAATAGAGCCACTCCTCATCTCTTACAGTTACTTTTGCAGTAGCATATCTTTTTCTATCCTTTACTTTCAACCTATTTATGTCACTGATCATAAAGACAGCATGTAGTTGGATCAGGCTGGGTTTTTAAAATCCATTCTGCCAATTATCTTTTGACTGCAGTGTTTAGTCCATTTACATTTAATGTAATTGCTAATAGATAGGATTTACACTTACCACTTTGCTATTTGTTATTTATATGTATTTTCTTTTTTGTCCCTCTATTTCTCCACTACTGCTTTCTTTTGTGTTAAATACTTTGTAGCATTCCATTTTAATTTCCTTGTTGTTTCTTTTATTCTATTTGAGTTACTTTTTTAGTAGTTTCTCTGGGAATTACAATTAACATAGTGAAAACAATCTAGTTCATGTTAATGCCAACTTAATTTCAGTAGTATATAAAACCTTGCTCCTATATAGCTCCCTTCTCTCATTCTTCCTTTGTGTTATTCTTGTCATGCAAGTTACATCTTCATTTATTATAAGCCCATAAACACTGTTACAATTATTGCTTTTTGCAGTTGTCTTTAAAACATATAAAATAAAAATTATAAACAAAATATATTTATACTCTCTTTTCTATGTACTTCTATAGTTTCCTTTACTGATGTTCTTTATTTCTTCATGTGGATTTGAGTTACTGTCTAGTCTTTTCATGTCACCCTTAAGGACTCCCTCTGTATTTCTTGTAGGGCAGGTTTGCTAGGAACAAATTCTCTCCATTTTTGTTTATCTGAAAATGTCTTAATTTCTCCTTTACTTTTATTTTTTTCTCCTTTACTTTTTGAAGGATTGTTTTGCTAGATATAGATTCCTTGGTTGACAGTTTTGTTTTTTCAGCACTTTGAATATCTCACTGCCTTTTGGCCTCCATAGTTTCTGAGAAGTTAGCTAGTCATCTTACGGAAGATTTCTTCTACATGATTATTTTCTTTTTCTCTTGCTGTTTTCAGTATTCTGTCTCTCAACAGTTTGATTATGATATGTCCAGATGTGAATCTCTTTCAGTTTATCCTACTTTGAGCTTCTTGGATGTATACATTAAAGAATCAAATTTGGGAAAACTGTTTCTTCAAATATTGTTTCTGCCCCTTTCTCTTCTCTCCTTCTGGGACTCTCATTATGTGTATATCAGCACACTTGATGGTGTCCCACAGGTCTCTGGGGGCGCTATTCATTTTTCTTCATTCTTTTTTCTTTCTATTCCTCAGACTGAGTAATCTCCACTGATCTGTCTTCAGGTGTGTTCATTCTTTCTTCTGCCAAGTCAAATCTGATATTAAGCCCTGTTAGTGAATTTTTCATTTCCGTTATTGTACTTTTGTCCTTATTGAGCCCCAGAATTTCTATTTGATATACATGTATGTGTGAACATTTTTAACATAAATATAAAATTTCTGTGTTTATTAATATTCTACATTTGGTGAAACATCTTTCCTGTACTTTCTTTTGATTCTTTGGACATGGTTTCCCTTTAGTTGTTTGAATATATTTATAATAGCTGATTTAAAGACTTTGGTAACTTCCTCAAGGACAGTTTCTTTGAGTCATTTTTTTTCCTTTTGGATGGGCCACACTTTCCTGTTTCTTTGCATGTCTCATAATTTTGTTGTTTTTGACAGTGACATCTTAAATATTACAACGTGACAACTCCGAAAACCAGATTCCACCCCTCCTTAGGCTTTGTTGTTGTTATTGCTGCTGTTTGTTTAGGAACTTTCCTAGACTAACTCTGTAAAGACTGTACTCTTTGTGCATGGCCATTGAAGTCTGTGCTCAATTAGCCTGCTTAGTGGTCAGCTAATGACTGGACAGAGATTTCCTTTAGCCAGTAAATTTCGTAGCCTTTTCTGAGGGGCTCTGTGCATGTGTGCACGTGTGTGCGTGCGTGCACAACACTGCTTTAACTTCCACTTCCTGCTTGCAGAGAGCATCAAGGTCAACTCGAGGTGAGAGGTTAGGGTCTTCTCAGGTCTTTCCTGGACATGCATGCTTGTGACCTTCTCTGGATTCCGAAGAATGTGTCAGAACTTTTCAAAGTCTTCTATGACTATTTCACTCCCTAGTTTTTCTTTTTAAGTTTTTTTGGGTTTGTTTTGGTTTGGTTTTGGTCTAGCCTCTTGTTACTTCCAGCTGGTGTCACCAACTCAGGCAGCTGTTATATTAAACAATTGCCACTTATCGTTTTCAACTAGGGATCGTTCAGCATATCCCTAGGGATACGGCTGTTAGCACAGGGAGAATTTAAGTCAGATCAAATAGAGACAAATCCTGGGAATAGAGCTTTGCAGAGAGCTACCAAATAGCGACACTCCTCTGGGAATGGAGCTATTGTAGAGATTCAAACCTGTTCTTCCCCCTCGTAAGCACTGGTTTTCACAACTTCTTCAGTTGTGAGGCTTTTATTTTTCAAGGTTTCTGTGGACCTGGGGAGAAGAGAATGGGACTAGAGCAAGTTAAAACTCCACAAAGTTCACTGTTCCCACTAGGACACAGCTATTTTTCTTGACTAAATGCTCCCTGGATGGTACATAGCCTTTAGCTAATTTTCAGAGTTCTGAAAAAGCTTATTTTCACCATTTTCACAAGAGTTCTTGTTGTTTTTATGGAGAAGTGAATTTTCAGAGGTCCTTACTCCACCATTCTGGAAGTATTTCTCTTCTGCTTGATCTATACAACCAGAGAAACTGTAGGGCTGGTAGCCGAAATTCTGACTTGAGTTGTCTCAATGGAGAATCATAGCCTCTCACTAGTTCCGAGACTAGTCATTCATAGACAAAGTCAGTCATAGACCCAGAGCCCCTTAATTGGAGGTGATGCTGAAGCTTCTTGAGGAAGGACCCTGCACCATTGCTGCAAGTACTTATCATAAATCGTCCTCTAAGCCTTCCCTAAAGGGACCTGTGGCCATTTACTTTTTGTGCATTGGGGAAAGGAAATATGCAGACCTTTCATGGGTTATTAGACATTGGCCCTAATAGATGCATTCCTGGGGACCCAAAATGGCCCACCTATCAAAGTAGGGGCTTACAGCAGCCAGGTGATAGATGGAATCTTAACTCTAGGCCAGTTCAGCAGGCCTGCATTTATTTCTGTACTTCAGAAATAACTGTTGTTACTTCTTCAATGCCTGAATTTATCATTAAAATAGACATACTTGGTAATCGGCATAGTCACTAATGAGAGACTCAGAAATACAGGAGGAAATTTTACAACACGTCAAAAATATAAGGGAAAGGAAGTCATACTATGAAAAGTAAATTTGAAGGACAAATCCAGACGACGTAACACATGAATAATAGGAGTTCCAAAAGAAAAGTAACAGGTGGAGAGAGAAATTTGAGTCTAAAGATTAAAGGACTCACATGAATAAAGATAAGCATCTAGACATATCTGATGAAATTCCTGAATTTCAGAGATAGAAAAAAATTTTTGCAAGCTTCCAGACAGAAAGACTAGGTTACTTATAAAGGAACAAGAATTGGACTAGTTTAATACCACGCACCTGCAATCCTATAAGCTAGGAGATAGTAGAACACAGACCACTAAGAGAAAAGGAATGCTCCCTCCTTTGATTCTCCAAGAATCAAAACCAGCCATTGTGTCACTTCTCAACCAGGGCAAAAGAAAGACATCTTCCGGCATACGCAATCCAGTGCCTGGCCCCTGTGCGTGCCCGATCTGAGGGAAGTACTAAGGAACTCCTCTCAACAGTGACTAAAGAGCTCATGATAGTGGAAGATGAAGAGACAGGGGAGCAGAGATGAGCAATGAATCTTGCAATATTGCAATAATATTTAAGTTGGTTTAGATAGTAGGAGATAGACTGGGAATTTGAGCTTTATATGTTAAGTAAGGATTCTTTTGCAGAAGTGATGAACATGAATGGAAAACCTAGTAATAGACTAGAACAACAACAAAAACAAAAAACCCTGTATGCTTCGTAAAACCCCAGGAGTGGGGAGAGTGGGGAAGTTAAAAGCATTCTAAAGGTATCATCTTTCAGGAGGTTGTGAGGGAGTAGGCAAGTAAAACATTTTGGTGAAGGAGTAGGATTATCACCATGTACTGATAACAATCTAAGAATAATTACGATTGGTAGGAAAGAAAAGATAGGAGGAGGGTATAGCTCAACTGGTAGAGCGTATGCTTAGCATCCACAAGATCCTGGGTTCAATCCCCAATACCTCCTCTAAAAAGAAATAAATAAGTAAACCTAATTACCCACCACCAAAAGAAAAGATATACACAGCTTAATAAAGGGGGAGGGTGGATAGTAATAAATAGAAACTTGACCAAGTCGATAAAAGTTAAAAATAAAAAAAAAGCAAATAAGAAAACATTAATGAAAAATAAAGGAGAAAGAAAAAAGTATATTGGTTATTACAATAAATCCGAACAGGATGATTAACCTATTATAAGACGGAACCTGTCAGACCAAGTGACTTTTAAATCTAGCTATAAGCAATTTATAGGAAACACATACAATAATGTGACAAAAATTTTTCAAATAAATGGACAAAAATTTTTAGGCAAATGCAAACAAAAAACAAGATTGAGGGGAGGGCTTTTGCCAAGATTCTGGCAAAAAAGAAGTTTATTTCTGGTTTGGGATGGTGGTTATAAGAGTATTTTGTTTTATAATATCACAAATCTATTTCTCTATGAATGTCTACACATGTGGATGGTATTTTGTAACTCTGATAGGCAGAATAACGGCCCTTGCTCTGATGTCCTAAAATGTCCACACCCTAATCCCCAGAACCTGTGACTCTGTTAACATTTCATGGCAGAAGGGACTTTGCAGATGTTATTAAATTAAAGACCTTGAGACCGGGAGTTTATCCTGGATTATCCAGGGGTCCAGCAGAATCGCACGAGTCCTTAAAATTGGGAAACTTGATCTGGTTCTGAGCAGAGGGAGATGTAACTGTGGAAGAATGGTCAGAGAGAGGTGACACTGTTGCTCAGAAGATGGAGGAAGGGGACCACGAACCAACGAATCTGGAGTCCCTCCAGAAATTGCTGGAAAAGGCAAGGAAATGGAGTCTCCCCTAGAGCCTCACAGCCCTCCCTACACCCTGATTTTTTTTTGAGGGGGGAGGTAATTAGGCTTGTTTGTTTATTTATTTATTTGATGGAGGTACTGGGGATTGAACCCAGGACCTCGTGCATGCTGAGCACGCACTCTACCACTGAGCTATACTCTGCTCCCCCTACACCTTGGTTTTAGCCCAGTGAGACCCATGTTGGACTTCTGACCTACAGAATTATAAGATAATAAATCTCTGTTGTTCTGAGCCACTGAATTTGTGGTAATTTGCTACAACAATAGAATACTGATACGAGAACAACAGAAAAGATTTTAAAATTGTGCCTTCCTGTTATGACCGCTGCTTCATCTTCGTTTTCTTCTCAGCTTCACTCTCAAACTAACCCACACAGTTTTCTCATTGGCCATGGCTTTGTGAGTCAACAGTCATGGGGAGAGAACTAATGGAAAGAGCACTGAGCTTGCAGATAAGGAACCAAAGTTGTAGTTCTAGCTTTGCACTAACTTCCTGTGTGACTATGAGCAATTGCTTTCCCTCTCTGAGCCTATAACTTTATTGTAATTAATAATTATAAATCGAACAAAATATTTAGTTAGGAGTTGTTCAGGGGTATAATCCTTTCCCAGTCACAAAGTCTACTTATCCAAAACTCTTTAATTATGTGAATTTACTTTTTTCTGTTCAACTTATAGGCAACACTGAGGATTTCAGGTCCAGGTTATATAAATTTCAAATCATTCCTTGTCATGACCTCGGGACTTGGAGTTGTAAAATTAAAAAGGCAGCAAAGGCGGGAGGGTATAGCTCAGTGGTAGAGTGGGTACCTACCATACACCTGGTCCTGGGTTCAATCCCCAGTACCTCCATTAAAACTAAATTAATAAACCTAATTATCTACCTGGCATACCTCCCACCCTCCTCAAAAAGCAACAAACATCCCAAAATAACTCTTGGATAAAAAATCCTAAAACATTTCAAGAAAATAAGGAAGGGTAGAAGAAAACTAAAACAAATAAAATTTTATAAAATAACACACAAAAAAAGGAAGGGTATATAGAATACCTATTAATAGAGAAGAGTTTTAAATTATTTAAAATGTCACTTACTGCGTTATTTGATGACTTTCAGTAAAAGGAAAACAATGTGTAGGATTTCTCCTACATTTATATATCCCATCTGGCTGCAGAGTGCTTATGGTGGAGCCTCACAGACACCTGGGATATTGGTCACACCCTTTGAGACCCATGGAACTCATGGGGACTCTGGAACACCTTGCTCCTTACAAGTGGCACAGTCACTCCCAGCACAGTGACCCTACCACGCAGACTCCTGATAAGGGTTCTCATGGTCTCTGCTGTTTCAGTGCACTTTTTCTGGGTCTGGCTTTCAAACTTTCCAAAAGATTAGATCTGATCAGCTGGACAGCCAGCCAGTTAGGCAGTATTTCCAGGCCCAAACACCTCCCAGGCCACCAGGCCAGCCTACAGGAGTCCACTGGCATTCTAGGCATGACCTCTGCTATGTCTGCTGCCAGCTAACTGCATGCCTGTGCATCCTTAGATATTGTGACAATCAACTTTGCTCCAGATCTTTCTGAATACTCAGGCCTCATTGAGAATCCCTGCTATGGGAAGTTGGGGTCAGATGCCAATCCTTGGGCCCATCGGGGGTTTGAGAAGAGGAAAGCAGGGAGTCATGACATTTGCTCAGAAGGGACTGCAGAGGCACCTGCCCCTTGAATTAGGGGGACACCTCCTTAGAATAAGGTCTTGAATTCCTGAACTGAAATTTCTCCCAACCTGGGGGTTTTGAAGTATATAATCATTTAAGTTGGAGAAAGAGTACTGTACAAGTAGAGGCACAATGTGAGAGAAGGGAACTGATTTTTATTTTATTATAGAAGTAGTATCATGCACACAGTAGAAAGTACAGGAACACAGATATGCAAAAATAAGAGTTAACACTATATTCCTACCACCCAGAGATTCCCATTGTGAACACTTTGAATTGGTCTTTTCTATCTTTTCTAAGAGCTCAACATGGGGCCCAGTATGAAGCAGAACTCCAAGACTGAATGAACAGAAATGATTCCTCACCTATAAACTAGGAGGTGTGGTAAGGTGATCGCTAAGAAAACTCTCAAAATCTAGAGGAGTAGAGTAAGGCAGTGGATAAAAACATGACAGTCAGACACTCTAACGTGTGTCTGCATGTGTAAACATACACAGTACACATACCCGTATGTACAGCACTTAGCCTAGGGTGGGCACCTTACGAAGACCCAGTCATTGGGAGCCATTGTTACCACCACGTCCTTGTTCCCCGCGAGGCTCAAGGATCCCCATCTATTTTCCCCAAAACTCCAAGTCCCTCAGCCCACTTGTTGCTCTAGAAGCTTTGGCAGAAAATGTCTCCTTAGAGCGTGTAACACTCCCCACCCCCAAAAAAGGAGTGAGACTCCTCTCTTTATATGAACACCCTCTTTACAGTGGTCTTCAAGTTTAATTTTGAAATTGAAAAAAAAAAGCCTGCTTTCATTAGAAAGTTGGGGAGAAAGATGGGGAAGAAAAGATTTTTCAGATAAGGAAATGGAGCCAGAGAGGGTAAAAACTTGCCTGGGAACCACAGCCAGTCATCATCCCCCAGGAACTCATTTAGGTGGCTCTCAACTCTGGAGCAGGAGGCTGGGGGATGGATAGGGGCTCCATTCACTAGCGGTGTGACCTGGGCGAGTCACTTCCTCTTCCTAAACCTCAGCTTACTTATCTGTAAAATAGGGATAATTCCTTGCTGGGCTGTAGCAAAGAACAGAGAAATGATAACTGTATCTAGCCTAATGTGGACACATAGTAACTCAGAGTAGCAGTTTGTGTTTAGTGGAACAACTCTTAGTTAACCTGTGCACAGAGAGGCAGGAGCTAGGAGGGAGAAAGATGTCCTGAGTGAGAGATCCAGGTTCCAGGTGCTTAGACTCCTCTTTGGGGTGGAGAGTCCTCAGTTCTGCTTCCCAAGTAGCTACAAACTGCTTCAGGAGAGTGCCAATATATAGGGAACACTAAAATATTGCTGTAAATGATGGAGGAGATAGTCTGACTTCAGAGTGGGTGTTCTTTATTTGAGATCATATACTCTGAAATCAGACTATGTGGACTCAAATCTGCCCCTACTATGTACTAACTGTGGGACCTGGACAAGTAAGTGACTTAAACAGCTCTGTGCCTCAGTTTTCCCATCTGTAAAATGGACATAATAATAGTACTTACCTCACAGAGTTGTTGACATGATTATTGGGAGATTATGCATGTCAAGTTCTTAGAATAGTACCTGGCTTAGTGTTAGCTATTTTGTTTTATATGGCCCCAAATTACTCTTAGATCTAAGCTGCTTGGAGTCAGGGTTAAGACTCACTCAAGTTGAATAACAATGGACCCTAATTGCCTTTGAAGGAAGATAAGTGTGGTTAACTTCAAGTTTGGGTCCAAGCTGAATCGCACAGCTGTGTGAGGGGAGGACCAAGTCTGTTTGTCTTCTTTTTTGTTTGTTTGTTTGTTTGTTTGGGGAGGGGGGAAATTACATTTCTTTCTTCCTTTCTTTTTTAATGGAGATACTAGGGACTGAACCCAGGACCTTGTGCATGCTAAGCACATGCTCTACCACTAAGCTATATGCCCCCCAACCTTGTTTGTCTTCTACATGCTACATTTTTTAGGTTAAGGTTTAAAAATTAAGCGCTCTCTGCCTTTGAGGAAAAGAAAACTAGTTTTAATAGAAATGGGCTCTGAGTTGCATGTGCTATTAAATCCCACAGTGAAAGATTATGAAGTGGAATAAGAAGGGTTGGAGGGTGGGAGACAAGAGGGCCTTGGTGGAGGTGGTGACAGGGGATGGAAATGTCCCCAAGCCTGGAAGGGGAGACAGGGAGTCCTGGCGCATGCCCCAAAGCCATGGTCTATGAAGCTAGCCAGTCTTGAGAGCAGATGGATGCCTGATATTTCAGGAATCATGGGCTCCTACATACAAGGAATCTCAGCCAGCCCTAGATTCTGGTGTCCCACATGTGGTATGGAGCAGAAGCCATGAACTTTAAGGGACCACTCTGGGCTTGGATAGTGATGCCAACAGCAACTAAGATGAAGTAGAGATTAGACTTTCCATGGCAGCAACACACACATGCTCAAGCATGTGCATCTCTCACACACACACACACACACACACACACAAACACACACAACCCTTGGTTACCCGGCAACACCTCTTGGATTCTGGTATGCCCTTGAGAGAGGAAGAAAGCCTCAACAGTAACTGAGATGGGATTTCTGTTCAGGGTCAGAAATTAAGTTGTTTTATAAAAAAATTTAACCATTGCTACCTTGTAATAGCCTATAATAAAAAAGAATATGAAAAGGAATATATACACACATGTATAACTTGTGGAGCAGGCTGGTGCTCTCTAAAGTTTCTCTAAAGCCATAAAACCCCCAACTCCAGGGCTCTCCATGTGCCTGGAGCTGACTGGCACCCTTAACCCTAACTCCCCACGTCAGGATAAAAAACATCTTCCCAGGATGTGTGTTTACAAAAACAAAACTAACCGCCCCCAGGAAATGGCTAATCTCATAGTACCCTAGGTGGGCAGGCATCCCTGCATATTCTGTCCTTATCAGAGTCGTAAATCCCATTACTCAGAATAGCCCCTGACAAGTCTTACCTCACAACCAATCAGGTAGCTGTGCACGAACTGATCACGCAGCCCCCTACCCCTTGTGTTCACGGCTCCTTCCCCCCAATTAAAGACCCTGCACCTTCACCCTCTGTGCTCACACAGGCACCTCTCATCTGTGTGGCCCGCTGTTGCCTGTAGCAGCCTATCTATTAAACTTTCCTTTGTTTTTTAAACTTTGTCTTCATTAAATTCTTTTACCATATGCGCACCAGCCCGTGTACCCCAACATGACTAAATCACTATGCTGTACACCAGAAATTAACACAACATTGTAAACCAACTATATACATCAATTAAAAAAAATATATATATATATATATTTGTTTGAAAGGGTATCCCAAACAACTTAACCAGCCTGGTCCCCACATGTTTTTGTCTAGTGGCTACAGTCCTCTCTCAAGCCTGCTAGTCCATTTGTCACCCTCAGTTTTACTTCAAGACTTGGTTAGTAGGTGGTCTTTGGAATTAGATCTTAGGTTAAGTCTAGGTTCTGTCACCAGCTGTGTGACCTTGGATAAGTTACCATACTTAACTTTTCTATATCTGTTTCTTCATCAGTAAAATAATGCACTTCCTCTTAGGAATTGTTAGAGTGCAGTGGAATAATAGGGTGATCTTCCAACAATGTCCTGGAGAGCCTCAAATCAGACAACATAGCGCTTTCCAAACTTCATTCACATCCCATCTTCCCAAACTTCAGACATATTTGTATACCACCTCTACTGCTATTTGCTTAATCTTGTCCTTTATAAATATCAACTTTTTTCCTAGAATAAACCCATGCACTTACAGTCAATTAATCTATGACAAAGGAGGCAAGAATATACAATGGAGAAAAGACAGTCTTTTGAATAAGTGGTTCTGGGAAAACTGGACAGCTACATGTAAAAGAATGGAATTAAAACAATCTCTAATGCCATATACAAAAATAAACTCAAAATAGATTAAAGACCTAAATGTAAGACCAGATACTATAAAACTCCTAGAGGAAAACATAGGCAGAGCACTCTCTGACATAAATCACAGCAATATTTTTTTTGAACCAGCTCCTAGAGTAATGGAAATAAAAGCAAAAATAAACAAATGGGACCTAATTAAACTTAAAAGCTTTTGCACAGCTCAGGATATCATTAACAAAACAAA